CAGCGCGCTCTAGCTTACACACAAGAAGTAAATTATGGCGTAAGAAAAATGAGCTTGCGGAGTCTAGCACGCGAATCTATATCCTGTGAAGCGCTCGCGCGGGAGTCGAACCCGCAGGGGGCTCCACACATTGGTGGGCGGCTCCCCATTCCTTCCCGTAGGGAGCGAGCGTGTCGTCCGGGGTGTCCCCCTTACCCCGGACGCTGTCATTTAACGCCGTACAGTGGCGGGTCGCGGTTTCAACTCAATTCAACTCGACTCAACTCAACTAGCTCTGGGCCGAGGGGGTCCAGCGCGCTTCCAGCTGTCGCGCATGCTGGAACTCGGCCGTATATCGGTGCTCCGTGTCGCGCGCTGCCTGCTTCAGCAGGCGCAGGTTGGCGGCCAGGTCCGGCTCGAGGTTAGTCGCGCTGAGGAACTGCTTGATTATCCTCTTGCGCTCGTGCGGTGTAGTGTAGAGCGGCCGGAGCAGACGACGTGGTCCAGCGTCTTGAAGCGGGTCAGCAGCACATACAGGGTGGCGCGCTTGATGCCGTTGGGTGGGACAGCGAGATCCACCAGCCAGCACTCGTCTTTGAAGCTGCGGCCTTGCACGAAGTAATCGGTGACCGCCTGGCGGTCGCCGAGCGGTACGTTGAGGCGCCGGATCTGCTTTGTGATGGTGCCGTACCCGGCGGCAGGCATGTCGACCTCGGCAATGCAAGACGCCCGGGGTGACAGGATGAAGGCACCACCCCTGCTGGCGTAGTCTGCAAGGCCCTGCAGCACGGTGCCGGGGATGTGGCCGCTTATAGGCCGCACAATGACGGCCGCTGGAAGGTACTTGAGCCGGCGATAGGGGCCACGGCCGTCATCTGCTGGCTCGCGGCCATCCTCAAGCAGGCCGCAGGCTTCCACCTCGTTGTTGTGGCTCGCTCCGGCATCGGCAGCAGTTGTATCAAGGAGGATGTATCGGGCGCCATGGTAGTACCACGTGTCGGCGGTGGTGTGGCCAAACTCGTGATCCTTGATCCGCATCGGATTCGGCGTCCTTCCAGCTAGCAGGAAATCCTGCACTCGGGTAAGAGCGTTGCATGTCAGCTGCGCCTGGCTGTCGTTGATGCTCTTGCCAGTGTACTTCGTGCTGTAGTAGGCAACATCGCGGGCGCGGTCAGCAGCAGGCTGCAGCAGCACACAGTCCCCCCGTTCATCTTCAGGGCGGGCCAGTTGTGCTGCTGCCTCTGCCGTGTAGACGCGATCCACCTCGCACGCCAGACTAAACAGCTGGTTGCACCCAAATGCCAGCGCTGCAGCTGGCATGTGCGGTACAATGTTCGGGCCCAATCGCGGCAGAAGGAAGAGGCCGCCGGTGCCAATCCACTGGAAGGCGCTGTGCAGGACACGAGGGAATGCCATGCCACAGCTATCATCTGTGCCACGGCAGCCGTGTCGCTTGCAGGTGTCGTTATGTGTATGAGTAAGCGTGCTGCGAATGACGGCCGCGTGGTGCGCACGGCAAGCAGCGTGCCGGGGAGGCGGCGGGAGTCCGCCACCTGCACAGCCGGCCAGCCTGCCAAAATCATATGCTGCAGGCGGGCAGGACTTGTCAACGGGCGGAGGCGCACGGCCATGCTGCTGGACCTCTTCGACGGTCATGTCCATGACGTAGTGTTCTGCACCGCAGACGAAAGGGTCATAGTACGGCGAGGGATACCACATGGCGCACAGGGCGTATGCCAGGGCCAGCGCTCGGCAGTTGGGTCCACTGAACAGCGCCTGAAGGCGCTCGACTGCGAACGTGGCCACATGCGCAACACCATGGATGTGCAGGGCGAGGCGGCCGCTCTGCTCCACCTTGACCGCCACCTCAAATGTGAGCCCACAGAAGCAGCGCGGGTTTGTCTGCTGCATGGCGCCCGGCGCGAAGCCGAAGAGCTCCTCCACCAGAACCTCCTTGGTGGCCACCAGCAGGGCGGCGCAACTGTACGGGTCATCCTTCACACGCCGCCACTTCTCCACCGTGCTCGGGATATGTTGCGGTCGTCCATCATTGTCGAAGTCCAACACCTGTCCGGAGGCCACGACTGCACAGGCTGCATGCATATCTGCCGGATTTACGGTGAAGGACAGCGGGGGCCAGCCAATGGTGAGGGCGGCTGCACGCATCTTGGATCGGGCACCGTTGTAATACGCGTCTGTGAGGTCGAGACGCAGAGTACTGAGGCGGGCCCCCTCCACCAGCGCCTTAACCAGCGGCGACTGCTGCGCAAGCAGCTGCCGCCGCTGCGAGTGCCGATACGGCAGCGCCAGTATGGTGCCCATAGCACGGATTACATCACGCGGCACACACGCCGCTGGTTCGCCAAGATGCGGCCGCATGTTCATGGTGATGCCCACTTGCGCCATGCTTTCGTGGCGCACGCAGATGTCGTACATGCATGCCAGCAGCATGAGATTGCCGCCGAATTGTGTCCGCGGCACGCGGTGCCGCAGGTGGCGACAATACGCCGGAAAAGACATGCCGCGGGGGCGCTGACCAGAAAAGCCGTACGGGAAGGACTGGGGGAAGCAAAGGGTAAGGATGGCGGGATGACGGTCATCCAGCACGTGGCTGTCACGGCCACCAGCCGCAAACGCAAGCCGTGCGCGGCCAGTCAGAAGGTCCTCCACTCGGCCCGGGAAGGGGTCAATTTCGCTGCCATCATCACCCACATTCGACGGCTGTGGCAGGATCAGCTCCAGCTCGTCCAGAGTGGCAGCTGCCGGATCGACTGCAGGATCAGACGACAGATGCGCAAGAGCTGGGTCAGGATGCATGATCTGGCAAGTCATGCGATGTGTTAGCATGGCGCATCAACGGCCGTAAATGCAGTGTGGCGTGTACATATGCCGGACGGAAGTGGAATCGAAGCACCTCAAACACGCCACAAACAAGCGAAGACGCGTTTAGCCCTATGCTCAGCCAAGCAAGAGAACGCACGCACCTGGCGCACCTTCAGCTGGCTGGTCGGCAGGTTCCCGCAGGATGGCGGTGAATGGCCCCGGCCCAGGGTTCTGTCCTGCACTCAAGAATACATACAGAGGAGTAGTAGAATACACCACTAGCGGGACAGGCGAGGGTGCTGCAGGAGTCCAGCTTATCCAGGTGGTCAGGCTGTGCATCAAGATCCGTCAGCACAAGAGGAGCACCCTCTTGATGCACGGGGCAGCGGCGGTAGCAACTGTCCGGTGCAGAAAGTGCAGTACGAGGGCAACACGAAAACAGAGGGCACACAACAGCTCGCATGAAACACAGTAACAAAAGAACACACCTGCATTCGGGGTCGGATCCGCCAGCGTAGGTTGCACGGGTCCTGCAGTATCCACGTCAGGTGCCGCAGCTGCATCGGCAAGATTGCCATCACGAACAGCCGCTTCCACCACGTCCTGGAACTGCCGCACACCTGCCGCACCCGTGCGGTCGTGCAGGAAGGTGGTGCGGAGAACGTTCGCCACCTCCGGATCCGTTGGTGCAAGGGCGGCATGCAAGATTTCGTCCGGCACGCCTGCAGCACAGCCCATGCGCTCGTACTCCTGCAGAGCATCCTCATCAATAGCCAGCTCCTCCTCATCGTTGTGCTGCAAAAAACGGACCCAGGCGACGATGACCTGTCCTCGCACCTGAAGACCTGGCGCCTTTCGCATGCGTTCTAGCAGCTCCACCCGGCTGCGAACCTGGTCGACACAGACAACTGTGATAGCGCCGGCCAGGTCAGATGCCCGCGCCGGCAGCTGTGCTCGCAGCATATTCGGGTCAGGATTTACGACCCCAATGCCGTGAGTCTTTACAGCACGCGGGAAGACGTCCGGCGGTCGGTCTGCCAGGTACATGATGAGCAACTGCTGGACGATGCGGCCGCGGCCCAGAAGCTGCCCCTCCAAGAAAGTGGGGGACGGCAGAGGGTCACCCAGATGATTGACGCGCGGCACATCACCAGGGTCCAGGCGCGCCAGTGCAGCTTCGGGGACTCGCCGAGCTGCAGGAGAGGAGCAAACATGGACAAGCAGAGCTGAGATGACTAGGAAATCAGTATGAACGTGGCCAGCAAAGGTAGGAGAAACAACTACATGCTGTGGATGAACGGAGCAAGAAGATGCAGGCAGAAGTTACAACTCATAGCACAGACTGACTCACCGCTCAGGGCCTTGTGGCAGATGTTGCATACGAAGATGCGTTCTGTAGCGCCATCACCAACCAGCATAGTGCGGTTGGGCAGGTCCGGCTCCAGACGCATGCAATACGGCACCTCAACACTGGAGGGGTCGTCCAGACAGGCTCTGGGCAGCACCCGCGGGGGGCGCGGCTGTTGATCCGATGGAAGCTGATCAGGCGGCTGCTGCTCAGTCGTCGCTGACTCTGAACCGCCGGTTCCCGGAGCATCCCCATCCACCTCTAATGCTCCTTCCACTGCATCATCTACCAGCCTGCCTGCTCCACTGCCGCCGTCCTCATCCACAGCACCATCCCGCTCAGCCCGGCTAACACGATACCGAGCAGGCAGGACTGGGTCAGGTGGCAGTGGTGCGTCTCCCTGAGCTGTACGCGCCATCCGCCGCCACACCAGAGTATGCCCCCAGCGCTGCACAGCGTCCGTACACATGACGTCTGCACGTAAAATGTCAACGTTGGGAATCTCCATCCAGTGCAGCACCGTCGACTGGTCCTCCGAGCACACCTCTGAGCACACAGCACAGACACGGGAGGGCATGCGCCGGCGCAAGGCAGCAGCCATGGTCGACGCACAGTGCAGCTGCACGGTGTAGGGTACCTGCCTGTCAGGCGGTAACTGACCGCCAGGAAGGTCCTGCACGCGGCCCTCTGGAAGTGCCAACAGAAACTCGGGCAAATCAATGGCGTCATCACCATGAAGGTTCGCGAACCGCAGGAGGCGGTGCATGCGAGCCAAGAGGGTATCCTTAGGAGTGGCCTGCTGATTCTGCTGCTGCACCTGGCGTGCAGCTGCATGCCGTGCTGTGTTCCGCTGCTGCTGAAGCACCCTTACCTCCGGGTCAGCGCGTGCAGCCGCATGCTGTGCTGTGTTCCGCTGCTGCTGGAGCACCCTCACCTCCGGGTCAGCACGTGCAGCCGCATGCTGTGCTGTGTTCCGCTGCTGCTGGAGCGCCCTCACCTCCGGATCAGCACGTGCAGCCGCATGCTGTGCTGTGTTCCGCTGCTGCTGGAGCGCCCTCACCTCCGGATCAGCACATGCAGCGGCATGCTGTGCTGTGTTCCGCTGCTGCTGGAGCACCCTCACCGCCGGATCAGCACGTGCAGCGGCATGCTGTGCTGTGTTCCGCTGCTGCTGGAGCGCCCTCACCTCCGGATCAGCACGTGCAGCGGCATGCTGTGCAGCATCACGCAACTGCTGCTGCACCCTCACCTCCGGGTCAGCCCGTGCAGCAGCATGCTGTGCTGTGTCATGCATCCGCTGCTGTGCCCTCACCTCCGGGTCAGCACGTGCAGCTGCGTGCCGTGCAGCGTCCTGCTGCCGCTGCAACAACCGTAGTTCAGGAAGGGCTGCCGCACGCTGTGCAGCTTTCTGCCGCTGCCATCTCTCCCGTACTTCTGCAGCAGAAGCATCAGCACCCTGGTGCTGCCCCTCCAGCTGTGTATCTGCAGCAGCTGCCTCTGCGGGCCCCGCTGAATTTATTTGCATGGCTGTCTGCTGTGCTGCGGCATGCTGCTGCTGCCCAGCTGCACGGCCCGTACTCAAATCAGCGAACGGACGTATTCTTCCACCACTGCGGAAGCCGTCCGCAAGCGAGCCCAACCGGAGCCGTTTCGAAGCAGGCGACTGATCCGACATGAAGGCGGACCCGGCGAAGCGAGCACGTATACTAATTAAGCCGTTAAGGATACGAGGTTGTGAACGGCGAAGAACGCGAAAAAAGCAAAAAGAAAGAGCAAAAAACTTGAAAATATTCCGGCACAGTGACAAGGGGAATTGCGAGAATCGTCAAAGCTCACAAGCGAAGAACGGCACTGTATGAAGCACGTACGGCATTAATTCCGACGCGGAATCGAAGCGCGCGAAAGAAGCGAAAAGAAAGAGCAAAAAGCTCGAAAGTAATTCGGCACAGTGGCAAGGTGAATTGCGAGCATCGTCAAAGCTTACAAGCGAAGAACGGCGCTGTATGAAGCGCGTACGGCATTCATTCTGTTGTGAATGGCGAATAACGCGGAAAAAGCAAAAAGAAACAGCAAAAAACTTGAAAACATTCCGGCACAGTGACAAGGGGAATTGCGAGGATCGTCAAAGCTTACAAGCGAATGACGGCGCTGTATGAAGCGCGTACGGCATTAATTCCGACGCGGAATTGAAGCGCATGAAAGAAGCGAAAAGAAAGAGCAAAAAGCTCGAAAGTACTTCGGCACAGTGGCAAGGTGAATTGCGAGCATCGTCAAAGCTTACAAGCGAAGAACGGCGCTGTATGAAGCGTGCACGGCATTCACTCCGCGCACGTCCGAAGCATACGAAGCATACGAAGCATATGTGCGTATGCACGTATGGTGAAGTGCGTGTGTTGAAGTCTGCACGTTGAAGTTTGCCATCTGCTAGCGCTGCATATCGCATATCGCATAAGACGCATATGTGCATATGAAGCATATGAAGCACACGAAGCATACGAAGCATATGAAGCATATGAAGCATATGAAGCATACGAAGAAAAAAAAAGAAAAAAAGCGCGCAAAAAAAAGACGCGCGCGCGCTGGGGATTGAACCGGCGACGTGGTGGACAGATAGAGAGACGGACGGAGGGACTAGAGCGCGCTGTTCGCGCGAGTGGGCCGTAGCTCCTCTGCTGGCTGATGGCTGTTTTCTGCATTGCGCGGAATGACTATGCGCCATGCTCGGGAGGGCTGATTGGTATATGCAACTCAGACATTCCGCAGCAAGTATAGCAAGAATGACTATGCGCCATGCTCGGGAGGGCTGATTGGTATATGCAAATCAGACATTCCGCAGCAAGTATAGCAAGCGGCCCTCAGAAGCACATACGGCGCTTAAGGGCCACACACACACACAATACGAAGGCGGAAGGAAACTGAGGTTGCAGAGGGTAGCACGCAACTTTAGCCTGTCAGCCAGTGTGAAACGCTCGCGCGGGACTCGAACCCGCAGGGGGCTCCACACACAGGTGGACAGCTCCCCATTCCTTCCCGTAGGGAGCGAGCGTGTCGTCCGGGGTCCGGACGCTGTCATTTAACGCCGTACAGTGGCGGGTCGTGGCTTCAACTGTCGACTAGCGGGTCCAGCGGGTTTCTAGCTGGCGTGCATGCTGGAACCGGGTCGTGTACCGCTGCTCCGTTTCGCGTGCTGCCTGCTTCAGTAGGCGCAGGCTCCGTTTCAGCTGCCTGGTTCAGCAGCCGGGGCCGATGTCCTGGCGCTCCTCTGCAGCAGGCAGCACGCGAGACGGAGCAGCGATATACGACCGAGTTTAAGCATGCAAACCAGCTGGAAGCGCGCTGGACCGCGCAGACCTCCACGTGCACAATTTTGAAGACGCGGACAAAGAGGAGTTGAGCCTGCTGAGGTAGATGGGATAGCATAAATAAAGCTGCGCACGGTGCGCAAAACCGGAGATGCGCAAAGTCGGAGGCGCGCACAAAGCGACAACCGGGAAGGCACAGGGCCCAGCACAGTTGCGCTCGGTGGACAATGGAAACTAAGCGGGAACACGTTATTATGGGGAATGGTATATGCGCAAAGCCGAACGCGGAAAGTTTGAGGTGGAGGAAAGGGAGATGTACAGATTAGCTTTAACGCGCGATGCAGAAGAAGATGCAAGGCGTTAATTTTAAAGAGTTGTTATGCAGAGGTGAACACGCAAAGCATAGCGTATAAAGTCGGGGCCACAACACAACTCCACACATAAGGCCCGGCGCAAACTGTACTTCGTGCAAAGTGCAAGGCGGCGGCTGGTAACAGCTGCAATTTGCTTTACGTTCTATTGGGAACACGTTATATTGAGAAGTACAAAATGCAAGATTAGAGGCGGAGGAATTGGATATGCAAAGTTGGGGCCGCAACAGAAATAAGCGCACAAGGCCCGGCACCGCGCAAACGTGGATGTGCACAATTTCGAAGATGCGCACAGAGAGGAGTTGAGCCTGCTTAGGCAGATCGGATAGCATAAATAAATCTGCGCACGGCGCGCAAAACTGAAGATGCGCAAAGTTGGAGGCGCGCACAAAGCGAAACCCGGAAAGGCACAAGGCTCAGCACAGTTGCGCTCGGTGGAGAGTGGAACTTAAGCGGGAGCACGTTATTATGCGGAATGGTACATGCGCAAAGCCGGTGTGCTGGCTGATGGCTGATGCTGGCTGCTGGCTGATTCCTGAATTGCGCGGAACCACTAGGCGCTGTGCTCCTGCTCCGTTCTAATCAGAAGTACAGAATGCGAAGCTCGAGGCGAAGGAATTGGATATGCAAAGTTGGGGCCGCAACAGAAATAGACGCACAAGGCCCAGCACCGCCCAAACCTCGATGTGCACAATTTTGAAGTTGCGCACAAAGAGGAGTTGAGTCTGCTTAGGTAGATCGGGTAGCATAAATAAATCTGCGCACAGTGCGCAAAACTGGAGATGCGCAAAGTTGGAGGAAAGAAGACCGGAAAGGCACCAGGCCCAGCACAGTTGCGCTCGGTCGACAGTGGAAATTAAGCGTGAACACGTTATTATGCGGAATGGTAGATGCGCAAAGCCGAACGCGGAAAGTTCGACGCGGAGGAGAGGGAGTTGCAAAGAGTAGCTTTAACGTGCGAAGTCGGATGCAGAAGAAGATTCAACGCGTGAAGTTTAAAGCGGTCAGGTTGTTACTGTAAGAAAGATATATGCAGAGGTGAACACGCAAAGTATAGCGTATAAAGCCGGGGCCACAACACAAATCCACACATAAGGCCCGGCGCAAACTGCCCTCCGTGCAAAGTGCAAGGCGGCGGCTGGTAACAGCTGCAATCGGTATACAGGTTATTTTGCTTTACGTTCTATTGCGAACACGTTATAATCAGAAGTACAAAATGCAAAATTCGTGGCGGAGGAATTGGAGATGCAAAGTTGGGGCCGCAACAGAAATAAACGCACAAGGCCCAGCACCGCGCAAACCTCGATGTGCACAATTTTGAAGTTGCGCACAAAGAGGAGTTGAGCCTGCTTAGGTAGTTCGGATAGCATAAATAAATCTGTGCACGGTGCGCAAAAGTGGAGATGCGCAAAAGTGGAGGCGCGCACAAAGCGAGAATTGCGCGTCGAACTGCGCGTTTGTGCAGATGGAGCATATGTGCATATGTGCATATGAAGCATACGTGCAGCTGTGCATATGAAGCATATGAAGCATACGAAGCATATGAAGCATATGAAGCATAAGAAGAAAAAAAAGAAATCGTTGTGGTGACAGTTGCAATCGGTTGACAGGTGAATTGAATTGCGTTCTAATGCGAGCACGTTATAATGCGGAAAGTTCAACGCGCAAAGTCGAACGCGCAAAGTTCGATGCGGAGGAATTGGATATGCAAAGATTAGCACGCGAAGTTCAACGCGCGAAGTCGGATGCACAAGAAAAGTCAACGCGCAAAGTTCAGAAACGTCAAAGAATCCAGACGATGCTGCCTGAAGCGCGTACGGCAGTATTTCCGATGCGGAAGCTGCAAACCGATACGACATACGAACGCGCGCGTTCAAGCACACGTTGAAACGCACGTCGATTTGCATGCTGAAGCGCGTGTTGAATTCCGCGTCAAATTATACGTTGAATTGCACGTTGAATTGCGCGTTTAGAACTGTGTTTCGGCGCGCGGTTGCACTCTTGTGCTCTAACGTTTGCGCGCCGAAGTGCACGTGTGTGTGTGTCCAACCTCCTATTGACTGAGCCGTGTGTGAAAGTTTGATGCGTGTTGAAGTTTGTTGAGCTGCACGTGTCGGGCTTCGTGCGTTGAAATTGATAGAAATATAGTATTTCAACATCCAAAGTGCAGCAACAGCTCGCTTGTTGAAGTTCGCATGTTGAAGTATGCACGTTGAACTTTGCGCACCATGCGCACTTGAATTGCGCACTACGGTTGCACGTGTGCTCTAACGTTTGCGCATCGAAGTGCGCGTGTGACGTTGTGTGTTCAATATTGCACGGCGAGCTGTGTGTAAAAGTTTGCTGCGCGTCGAAGTTTGGATGTTTAGCCTTACGTGTCGGGCTTCGTGCGTTGAAATTAGGAATATAGTAGTTAAACGTGCAAAGTTCGGCAGCAGTTTGCGCGTCGAAATTTGCGTGGTGAAGGTTGCACGTTGAAGTTTGCGATCTGCTATCGCTGCATATCGCATATCGCATAAGATGCAGATGTGCATATGTGCATATCAAGCATATGAAGCATATGAAGCATATCATGCATATGTGCGTGTGTTGAAGTTTGCACGTTGAAGTTTGCGATCTGCTATCGCTGCATATCGCATATCGCATAATATGCATATGTGCATATCAAGCATATGAAGCATATGAAGCATATCATGCATATGTGCGTGTGCACGTATCGTGAAGTGCGCGTGTTGAAGTTTGCACGTTGAAGTTTGCGACCTGCTATCGCTGCATATCGCATATCGCATAAGACGCAGATGTGCATATGTGCATATCAAGCATATGAAGCATATGAAGCATATCATGCATATGTGCGTGTGCTGAAATTTGCACGTTGAAGTTTGCGATCTGCTATCGCTGCATATCGCATATCGCATAAGATGCATATGTGCATATGAAGCATATGAAGCATAGCATATGAAGCATATGAAGCATACGAAGAAAAAAAAGAAGAAAAGCGG